CCCGCTCCCAGCTCAGCTGTGCAGTTACCGAGCCCAGCTTGTGCAGAATTCCTCCTGCCAGAGGTGACAGGGTTTGGTGGCTTTGGCCACCTCTTCTGTCCCGGCAGGAGGCACCAGCAGCTCTGTACCTGTCTCAGGTAGAGCTTCAAGACGTTGCTGATGTCGTGAGGAGAGGCCTGGGACAGCTCCACCAGCTCCTTCCCGTTCTCAAACGCCTGGCAAAGCTTCTCCACGCGGGTCTTGACACCGTTGACTCGGTAGATGCCCTGTGAGAGAGAGGAGGGGAGTTGAAGTGAGGAGAGAGACTTCTCTTCACATTTTCATGGGACGGGGAGCTTCTAGCTCCCACCCTCTCCTTTTGGGGTTGGAAATCCCTCTCAGAAGCTGTTCTGGGACATCCCCTCCCAGCTCAGATGTTACTGACACTCCTGCTTCAGAGGAAACAGGGAGACAAGAGAAGTGAGTTTCTGAGCTCAGAGGTTGGAGTGTCAGGGCCAGGTTTGTCACCCGGGGCTTTCCTGCCGCCAGTGATCTGCACGCCGAGTCTGTCGGTTTTCCTGCCGAGGCAGAAGATCCCCTGGAGAGCCGGCGGCTGAGCCAGCCCAGCTGACAAAGGGGGAAGAACGAGCGCGTCACCTTGGTTTTCAGCGCCCGCTTCTCGATCTCAGAAACGCACTTCTTGACGATGAAGGGGATGCCATCGGAGCTGCTCTGGGAAGCCTTTGTGAAGTCTTGCCCAAACAGCTGCAGCTTCCCTTGGAGTTTCTTGTGCCCGCACTGGATGGCCAAGGTTTCCAGACACTTCTTGTGACAGGCCAGGTAGCACTGGAAAACACCGGGAGATGCGGGGAGCTGGGGGCAGCCCCGGAGACACCCGGCACCGCTCAGGGAGCCAGGAGCTCGCTCAGCAAAAACGCTTCTCGGAGGCGCTGCAGGACCAGCACAAAACGCAGGGGCCCCTCCCCAGCAGAGAATTGTCCTCCCGGACACAGATTCGGGCTGGGCTGAGGTGGCCCTGCCTGGGGGAAAAGCCGCTCCTCACCCATCGAGCTCTCCTCCCGCTTCTCCCAACTTTACCTCCTCGCATTCTGCTCCCTGGAAGTAAACGTAGCTGTTGCATTCCCGGCACTTGGACGGGGCCCGGAGCTTCCTCAGCCGGTGAGGCTGGGCAGCCTTGGACAAGCCAACGTTTGGG